AGATTTACTAAAAGTCCAGCAGGAACACAAGCTCTGAAAAAAAAGGAAACATTTAAGAAGCCTACTAGTGTCAAGAATTCTGCAAGTTCAATCTTTGATTCCTCCACAGAAGATACAACCAGTGAAAGTAGTCAAAATAGTAATATAGAAAATGATACTTTGTCAAGTTCTAGATCTTCAAGATCAAAGACAGCAAGTATCAGGAAGAAGGAAAAGATTGAAGTAACTCGAAGTATGCGTAGTATGGTCAATGACAGTACCTCTTCGAGGATAAATACAAGTACAGAGAACACTCCTCTCCCATCAACGCCTTCTACCAGAGTGCGTCGAAGTACATCTGTTTTGAATTATTCCACACCATCCACTGCAAGACACAGAGTTTTGTTTACAGGTATAACAGAGGACTACAACAACATCGTTAAAACATTAGGTGAGTAATAAATTTAAAAATATTAGAAAATTTACAATATTATTAACAATTGTCTTTATTTTACAGGTGGAAACAAAGTGGAAGATCCAGCAAAGTGCAGCATTTTGGTTACTGACAAAGTTCGCAGAACGTATAAATTTTTATGCGCACTAGCGAGGGGTATACCTGTAGTGACAATAAATTGGTTAAAAGACAGTGAATCAGCAACTCGATTTTTGGATTGGGAAGGTTATATACTAAAAGATCCTGCCGCCGAAGCCAAATTTGGTTTCAGATTGAGAAAGAGTCTTGATAAGGCTAAGGAACAAAGATTACTAGATGGTTATACTGTTGTATTGACATCAAATATTGCGCCACCACCAATAGAAGAATTAAAAGGCAAGTTAAAACATATTTTTATGTTGTTATATAAAACAGATTCAGCAGATTTGCAATGAGACATTATATTGCAGATATGATAACGTCTTGCGGAGGAAAAGCTCTATTACGTCCACCAAATAAATGGCCTGAAAAAGCGGTGATACTATCCCGCGAAGAAGATTTGCCAAATGCGAGAAAATTTCTCGTGAAGGCACCAAAGACTGTTACTATACAATCTACGGAATTTATTCTGACTGGTATTTTAAGGCAGGAAACGGATTTTGATAAATATAGAATAATGTGATTACCAGTGAACCCTTCCCTTCCTTTGATAAGAATGCTGTCAATATTCAGGTATAAAAATATTTTTATTACTAATTATATTAATTGTTTAAAAATTAGTCTCTATATACAAATAGCGCTATATGCTGTCACATTCCCAGTAAGTAAAAGTTGGTAGAATTATTTTCATTTCTTTATTATTTTTTTAAATTAAAAGAGACTTTTTTATTTACAAATAAAAATTGGTGCAATTGCCTTAAATTTTTATTTTTTTTTAAACATGCAAATTGTTCTATTTGTTGTTCTATTAATCGAACAAACCTTGATAAGAATCAAAGTTAATCATAGAATTATATAATAATGATTGATAATTTAAAAATATGATGAAAGTAGAATTGTGATATATAATAAGAAAAGAGAATACAGGATATGAGATATTCTTATTCTGACAATGAGCAAGGAATAAAAATGCATTAGCTACAAATCTTTATTTCATAGTTTTTTTTTTCAATACAATTATATTTTGATGCTTATATCAATACACAATAATAGACGATTTCCTCGTCGCGAAAACTTGAGATATATCTGGCAATTCTATTGATGTATATCATCAATCACAATTCGCGAAAGTTGCGTCCTAATTAAACATTAAATATCGTATATTCTTACGAGTTGATTGAAGTTTATCAACTCGGTCCTCTTTACGTATGTGTTTTCTGTAATACATTGCGATACAACAATTGTCGCTTGTTATAAGAACGAATGATAACAAAGACGTTATCTCGTTCGATCAGCGGTAATTACTCATACGCGATGTATGCGAAAACGCATGCATAAAGAAAACTCTAGTTAACGATTTAATGATCATTTATTCAATTAAATCTAATAATAATGATTATAGCTTATTTATAGATTCATAGCTTATATTAATAAATTAATATAATAGCACACGTGAAAATTGATATATCATCGTACTATGCTATATAAAAAAAAAAAGAAAAAGTCACGCGATTTTCAGGTTCACACGAAATAAGCAGTAATCGAAATACGATGTGTTATTTTATACTCTTATAAATAACATGGGGATCCGTGCCTCTAATATATAAATGAAGATGGACGGCACGAACTATCGTGCTCCGATCTCACGTTTTGAGAATTACGTAAGAATCTACTACTAAATGCAATTTCTCGACAGTACAACGCATATACATATTCCTTTCTTATCCCGGTCGTCTTAGGCGTTAGGTAAGTCCTATGAGATGAGATCCAACTTGACAATGTCTGCCGCGAAGATAGGAACGTGCGTAATCTGAAATCGCGAAGATTGGATAAAGAAAGCAATATAAAAAATATCGGGAACATATAATAGGGTAATAATGATTTCATTGTTTCGAAAATTTTCCAGAAATAATCGTAGAATATCGCGAAACACGTATTTACGCAATGTGTGAATGTATTAGCTAAGGAAAAAAAAAAATATACAAATGTGTGTATGTATGTGTATCGTATGAGTCATAGGGAGATAGTGGATACCAATAACGAAAAGTAAGACGCAATACCGCGAATCGGCACGTATGATAATTTACAATGGAAAAACGGACGATACAAAGTGTCATATTAACCGAGATTTGATTTGAAAAGTTTTTAGAAGCCGCTGGTGTGGAGAAATCAAACTATGATTACGACAAGCAACTAGGAACCCCATACGAAACAAAAAAGAAGTAAACACAATTGAATATGACCGAGAGATTGCGATATTATTATTTCGATTATTTTTCATTATTATACTTTTTCTTCGAGAATACATAAATTTAAACCGGCACAGAATATTATCGAATTGTTAAAAATAAATTTTATGCGTAAAAAAAAGAAAGTTCGATGAAAGGGATAAATTTCTATTCAGTTTATTAATATTGATCGAAGGAATGAATATGTGTGTTTCGGATTATTCAATTTCTTTCTTTGTAGGAGATAACACAAGGATTACGTCATTATTGCTCAAGACAAAGCAACTAAATTGATTGTACTGTTGAGACAAATGCGAGGAAAAAATATCCGGACGAGGCCAACGACGGAATAAGACTTAAAAAGTAGATCGTGGCGTCAAATACCTTACCTTCGCAGATTAGACCTTGGTCTTGCCGGTCTGCCGTTTGTTGTGCTCGGTATTCATCAGCTTGGTGAGGATCTTTCTGGAATGGCCGCTCGGGTCGAAATGATTGGTATGCGTGACAGCCTCGCGTTTGCTCCTCTGCTTACCGCCGTGCGCGGTGAAGATGTGCTTGTCGTAATCGTAGTTGAAGTGCTCGTACTCGTCTAAATATGCCTCCGACATAGCTCTCGCGATGGGATTCTCGGGGACGCTTGTGAAAAACAGGTCGCCGCGCGACAATGCAAAGCAGAAACGATCAACGTTAAATAATCACCTTCCACCGAAGGGGATCGATTCGATACTGATTATGGCGCGTTCGTTGCACCGTGTTTATATACATCGCCGGGTTTGCACGGTCGCGCGTGCGCGAAGCACCCAGTAGAGACCACCAGAGAGCCCGGTCTCGTCGCCGCGACTTGAACGATTCAACTCTGACACATGCGTCTCTAAAAATATACTTTCGTTTATAAATTTATTAAGAATTTATTTCTCTTAATTTCTTTTAATTTTTGCAATTCTCTAATATTGTTTACGTTTCTTCTCAAGAAGGTTTTATCCCAAGATTGAATAAAATATGTCTTCGTGACTTTTTAGCGAGTTTAATATAATATTTGTAGATAATTCGGAATGTAAAAAAAATCCGGCTTCCATCTCTTACGCAATTTTGCAACTGCGTAGTAAGTGCGAAATACTTGTATATACGTTGATACATCAATCTTTCGATATAGCTCCGATAACGTATCGAAGTCTCATTTCTCAACTTGACTCTTGGCAAATTATGCAACTCTCATAGATTTCGATTATGGGTATTTCATTGAGCAAATAAATAAAATTTATTATGCAATATTTTGGTGAATTGATATCATTTCGTATATATTCACTTTTTCGAGCAAAACATTAAGAATAAATGGGACGATAGTCAAATGTAAGCAAATCATATATTATAAATGCGTAAAAGCAAGAACATACGCATATCGTGTTGAACACAATCAGTCAGACATGTTGTTGACGGCTATGTACTCAGGTGTAATTTCACATGTCTTCACAAAAGCTTCTTCGCCGGTGCTTTATTTAAAATAGTTGTATCAGTATCAATCGGTTAAAATTTCTCTACACACATAAATTCGGATAATGAAATGAATGTTTCGGGATTGCGAAAGAGAGAGAGAGAGAGAGAGAGAGAAAGAGAATTGTCAAATAAAATTAAACTAACATAACACATGTCATCATCATAAATAACGTTATCTGAGGTGTATATAATCGGGAAATATTTATAAATACTCTTCGAATATTATTGATAGTATAATATTTGAAGTTGTTTTGCTCCCCTCCGACGTGCACGCGATTTGACCGCGATGATAAGACACTTCTCTTTATATCCAATAGTCATTTACTCACGTAGCTAATCTATCGTCGAGACACTCGCGGCCTAGAAAATTCCAACACGTAAATTCATCCAACGTCTAGGCTTTGCCTTTTATGTATGTACTTCTGACGCAGATATAATTACAAAGTTATAATAATGCATGCTTGATTTCTGAATGAAACTTTTCTATATAAAAATGATATGAATGATGAATTTTGCTGTTTATATATTTTAAAAATCAGGAAAATATTTTCAAAGGAGTAAATCGCACAGCGATTGTTTTATTATTCCGCGCGTTAAGTTAAGATAAAATATATTTTCGAAAGAATCAAGGAAATGAAAACAAATCAGCTGTATATATAGTTAAAAAAACGGCACTTGTTGATAGCGAGAGCGCGTGTCACGCCGGTCGTCCGTAAACAAAGTGTGAGATTTGTATTATACCTTGTAGAGGCGTAGCAAAATGCTCGTAAAGAGGACGTAAATATCTCGGGGAATATTTTGTCGTTACGTTCACCGATCTTATACATACACATGTACTTGAAACAAGTAAGATGTATGAATATATATCGGATATGCGGAGGGCAAGACCTGTATCAGTCGAGCATGTTTCTACGTCGTACGATCTCGACGCGGAGCGAAACTATCGGAGCGTAAAAGACGTGTCCACACTCTACACACGTCACCGATGAAATTTCTAGATTAAATAATTTCTCGAAGTCTTGGAAACAACAATATAACTTTGAATCATCGCCATTCTCAGTCGCCGCGACGACGAAGCCTGATAACTTTGTTTTTTTATTCATGCGAATTTTATTTGGCAAGAAAAGAGAATCTTACAAAGTTTCATCCCTGAATTAATAATGAGGAGTCATGAGATAACGATAAAAAGACAGTAAAATTCATAAACATATTTTTTTTAAATCTTGTATTTGAATATTGTCATTACGAAAAGAATGGAAGCATTTTTACAGCCACTTTATAGCTGCGTATGTTTTTGCGACGAATATAAATACGTGATATTTATTCGCAAATATCAGATATACATCATTTCTCCGATGACGGTAATTAACGCGGATAACGGTTATTTTGATAAACGTTACAATAATAATCGGAAATGTTGAATATATTTATTCGATTTCTTATCCGATATATATTCTTATTAACGACCCATCGTTGTTTCTCAAGTGTTGTAATTAAGCGTCGCGACCGAATCTGAGGTTTGGTGGACTATAATTTATATTCAAAACAGCGAATTTTTTTTCGATGATGGTGCAATGTAATTTTCAAGGTCGGGCATTAACGACGGATTATATTCCGACTAAATGCGAAATACGTGATTATGCTCGTGTATTCTCTCGCCATGTATGTGTGGGACGACGTTTAATTATAGCTTGTGGAATACGCTATATTTTTGCAGAGTCAACGAAAGATAAAATCCGACCATGCTCTCTTTTTTTTCTCTTGTTAACTCTTGTCATGAAAACCGCTGCGCGAAGTCACCGATCAAATCCGAAGGACGACGACGATGACATTGCGAAAGAATATCGAGCGCGAATACGAAAAGTACCGTTGATCGCGATCTGATCCTGATAAGACGTTCGTATCAAGCCGGCTGTGGTCTCGAATGACGATGAGCCGAGAATCCTCCTAGACTGCTTCGGAAACAGGTTTTGCTGGATAATGGTAGGGGAATAACTAATGTATTTTATATTTGTATGATGCTTTCAAAGCCCATATCTCGACGGCATAGAAAGCTTCGCGACTCTGAAGAGTTAAGAAGAGAAAGGAGAGAAGTGCAAAGAAAGGAGAGATGTACACAGTGATGTATCAAGGACACGAAGGATCAGTATTGCGTCAACAATGATAGTACCATGTATATGGTATTATGTACATCTTTTTTTGATAATATATTATTAAAATACACTTTTGAGGAAAATCGATATAATAATCGATAAAATTATAGAAAAATTTATTGAAAAATTTTACACGAAGCAAAAGATTAGCTTAAGACGTGCGATCGTGGAAGTGAAACACCTCGTGTACGAATGATACGGAGTAGTTTAAAATAGGAAGTAAATTGCAGCAGTGCTGACGTCAATATTTTACATCTATAAAAAGCGCAACAAGGCTGGAAGCGTTCAATAAGCATCACGTCTCACGGAGCGGATTGTATAGTTGTACTATATACTAACAATACGAATCGTACAAAAAAAATATATATTTATATATCGTATACTATATGGCGCTAAAATTAAATAAAATTTATAAATTTTTGTGCATTTAGGTACATTGTTACGTCGGTTTTGCATATCTAAATATCACAAAGAGTATGGTAAAGTACGTCGAGAAAGTACGGATACTGGAATTGGTAGAAAAAACGTAATTGATGCGCTGATGGATAATGATGAGCGAAGAACGTATTTAAAGATTGTATTGATTGAGCAATACCGGCGTAGCGATTTTTCAAACATGCAAATGTGACGATAACATGATCGATCCCGTACGCATCGGTGTTACAATAATCGCGAGGAGACGATCGACATTGTCCAAACAAAACCGGTTTGCGAAGAGTTTTGCACTGCAAGAGAACGTAACTGGATATCGATGAAGATAACACGCATATCAATCGACTCCATAAACGTCGCCACCTTTGCGATAATCAGCGTTCGCGAAGATCGTGGAATTTTCGTACAGTATCACGCAGACTACGCTGCCGCGTTCCCTGTAGCGTTTCGTGGCATGTCCTAGACGTTTCAGGCCATCGATCACCTGCTTGGGAACTCCGTACTCGTAAGCTATCTTTGGTGGAAACAGCTGATGATGTATCCTCGCCGAGTCCACGGCCTCCTTGACTGTCTGTTTCATCCAAAGAATCTTTGCAGTCACCTGAAAATAAGAAAACATGATGACAATCCGTTGCTTCATTAAACATACTGCTAAGAAAAGATATAAGAGGAATAGCAGCTCTCGAATGTTAAGGCTTTTAAATTAAAATATTAACTTGAGACACCGCGGTGGTAATTCTTGTACCACCAGCTGCGCCCACGACCATCTTGACATCGCCGTACTGATCGACGAGCACAGAGGGCACCATCGAGGATAACGGCTGCTTCTTAGGTGCGATGTAATTGTTGGGACTGGGAGGTATACCGAAGTAACTGATCTTTGAT